CTAGAACCCAGAAAATTGAAGAAGTAAATCGGGGCATTTTTTTTTCAGATGAGGATGCTGAGATATGGGAAGTTTGTTCCATCGCCCCACCTTCTTGTCCAGGGCCTTGGTCTGCTCCTGCAGGTCCTCCAACTCGGCCAGCACCTGAGTCCTGCATTTTAGCAGGCGGTCCATGTCCTCCAGCCGCTGGCTGTCACCCAGCCGCTTCACCTGGCTCTGAGCCACGCTGATCTGCACCTGCAGTTTGGCCCGTAATTCTTCCAAGTGTTGGATCTCCTCGCTGCCCAAGCAGGGAAAGGTAGCAGAGCTCAGCCTGGCTGAAAGCCCCGGCCCTGGCCTCCACCTGCCCTCCCCTTCCGCCCCCCCCAGAAGTCTGGGCTCACAGCTGCTTGTTGATGCGCTGATGGACTTCTTTGCTGTAGGCCCGCCTTTCCCCCTCCATCACTTTGCACTGTCGTTGAAGTCTGCTCAGCTCCCATTCCACTGCGGGGCAAGCCGGGCCAGACACTCACTCACGACTCAGGGCCACCAGCCCCTTCCTTCCCTTTCGGGTTTTGCACGGTGCTGCTAGTGCCCAGCCAGCCACCGGTCCCCTCCAGGTCGGCATCGCAGCCCGGCTCCCCCTCCTGCTTCGTGAGTTCCAGCACAGGCAGGGCACGTTCCTGTTTCCCTCCACGAGAGGGCGCGCCCTGGACGGCTTGAGCAGGCGCCTGCTCCCTCCGTCCCCGCCCACTCCCCGGCCCGGGGGAGGGAGGACCCACCCACCCACCCACCCCCCCCCGCCACCGGGGCGCTCCCCTCCCCAGCTCCGCACAGAAACTGAGGCCCTGGAAGGCCGGCGTGCGTGGAAGGGAGCATGGATGGCTTCCTCACCCAGTCCTTCCAGGAAGACGTCGCTGCCCTCCTCGGAGCGCACGCTCCGCGCGGAGAGGCCTATGGGCATCTTGGCCAAGGAGAAGGGGGCCCCTGTTCCGGGACGCGGGAGGGTTTAGAGATGCAGGGGGGTGGGGTTCGGGGAGGGGGGCGGGGGGCGGTCATTTAAAGAAAGAGGCCCTCCCTGAGACAGGATTCCTGCCAGCGGCTGGAGAAACCACCTCGGACCTCAGAACCCTGGACCGGCTCTTGTATCTCGGGGGGCGGGGGGGGGGGGGGGAAGCGGGGGGAACTGCTTGGTCACAGGGAAGTGGTGGGGGCAGCTGCGAGGCCCCTGCCCTACCTGCTGACCGGCCCACGGGGCTCCCCGCCACTGTTGTGGTCTGGTTTCCAGGGAATCAGGGACCAATGAGGACGAAGACAGTGGCCGGGGAGGGGCCAGGGCACCGAGGGGAGGGACAGAGGGGAGGGCGGGGAGACCCAACAGGGAGACACTGGGGAGGGGGGCGGGGATTTGGGGTGGCTGGGGCGGTCTAGGAAGGTGGGATTGGAAGGGAAATAGGGAAAGGGGGGTGTGACAGACCGTCAGGGGGCGGAGCTTCGGGGCTGCGGGGTGGGACACCTGCACCGAGGGACCAGGGACTTGCAAAGGGCGGAACAAGGGAAACCCCGAGTACTGAGCGGCTTCAGTGTGAGGGCGGGGCCAGAAGCGTGAAGGGGCGGGGCCTAGGCGTGGAGAGGGGAGGTGCCAGGGAGCCGTGTGGGCAGGGCTCTGGCACTATAAGGGGCGGGGCCGTAGGAGTGGCAGGAGGGGGGAACCCGCCAAGGTGTTGATGGATTGGTGTGGGCGGGGCAAGGGTGGGGCTCTGGTACTGTAAAGGGCGGTTCCGTGGGGACCGGCGGAGGGAGGAGCCAGGGATCTGTGTGGGCGGGGCTGTGGGACTGTTAGGGGCGTGGCGGTGAGAATAGCAAGGGCCAGGGACCCGTATGGGGCGAGGGCGGGGCTCTGGTATGGTAAACGATGAGGCGTGGGGTGACGAGGGGAGAGGAGTGGAGGCGGAGCCAGAAAGGCAAGGGGAGGGGCTCGGGCACCACAGAGGGTGGGGCTTTGGGGAGTTTGGCGCGTACCTTAGAGGGCGTGGTTTTCTTCTGGGGCGTGGTTACAATAGAGGGCGTGGTTTTCTTCTGGGGCGTGGTTACAATACCAGGGATCTAGAGACCACACCTGGCTGCAATGACAAGAGTGAGGGACGGACTACTATGGGGTGCTCCAGGCGGCCTGTAGGAGGCCAGGTGTCTTCGTATGGGTAGCCCGGCCCTGTGAGCAGCGGTCTGCGAGTTTGTGGGAAGAAAAGTCAGGAACTGAAAGTGCCTGGAGGAAAACGTCTAGAAAAACCGTTTGTTGTTTTTAGGAGATAATTCCTTAGGAAGGAGGCGGGAATTGGAGACCGCTCACCGCAGCCTGAAGGCCTCGAAGAGACCTACCACGCATGCGCGGCCAACGGCCTGCAACAGGCTGCTAACAGCGCCCGGCCCTGAGAGCGGGAGGGGCGTGGCCTGTTCCGCGCGCTGCTGCCTGCGTGACCACGCCCTCTGCCGCCACGCTCCTCCCTGAGAGCCACGCCCCTCCGCGGCCTGTGGCTGCCCACGTGGGGCTTCCCGGGGCGGGCGGTGGGCGCCGCTCCCTGCAGGCTGGGTGTGCCCGACGCCTGCGGTTTCCTGTGGGAGGAAGCGGCCCGCGGACGCTCAGCTCAGCTCCATTCCTCTGAGGCCCGAGAAGGGGAGATCCCCACTACCGCCCTCGCGTCCCTGACTTTCCCCCACTGCCCTTCCATGGACCCTCCAACAGTCGGGGTCCCCTCCCTCGCAGGAACCCCCCCCCAAAAAAAATCCCGTGATCCAGCTGGGGGGACCGTGCTGGTGGGGCGAGACCCTGTTGTTCCCAGCCTCATTTCCATCTCCTTGCCAGGGCCGGGGTGCAGCCCCCCCACCAGCAATCGATCACATGATACCATGCCCCAGACCCAAGAATGGGGTTCAGGATCCCAGTCCTCTGGGCTTCCCAGGAATTGAAGGTTTGGTCCTCACCCCTCTTTCCCCAGCGACCTCAGTTTAGATTCCAAATGTTTAGATTCCGGTAGATCCAAGAATGTATCCTTCTCCCCAACTTTTAGAGATAGTGGATCAAGGTTCCCCTGAATCTACGAAAGGCCTGGATGGCCCACATACAAAGGTGGGGGGGGAATCCCCTGTATACAAAGGTCTACATGAAGAACTATGCTCTATACCAGGTACCTGTGGCTCACACCTGTAATCCTAAACTACTCGGAGGCTGAGATCTGAAGATCCCGGTTGGAAGCCAGCCAGGATGGGAAAGTCCATGCGACTCCAATCTCCAATTTATCACCAAAAAAAAAAAAAAAAATCTGGAAGTGGAGCTGTGGCTCAAGGAATAAAGCACCAGCTTTGAGTGATAAAGGTAAAGGACAACACCCTGGCATTGAGTTCAAGCCTCAGTGCCAGCACAAATAAACAAATAAATAAATACACTATGATGCACTTACAATTATAGTATCCTCATTTTACTGATGAGGAGACTTAGGTGTAGCAGGGTTTTTAGGAAATTGTCCAAAACCACGCAGCTAATGGATTTGAATCCAAAACAGCTTGGATTTCAATCATACTGACCTAGCCCTAAAGACTGCTATGTAAGTACCCCCCATGTGACCCCAGTCACTGAATTGTTCATCCCTCACTTCCACAGAGACCCCCCACCCCAAATCCTCCCCAATCAAGCTCTGACTCCATTCCACATCCCATCACCCACTTCCTTAGCTCTGAATTACCAGGAACCCTGATCTTCTTCCTTCAGAAAACTCAGGTGGATAGTAGTCCTGACTCCCACACACCCTAACTCAAAATTAATCCTGAGAGTTAACATTAAACCCCAGGTACTATACAGCTGTTAAGATTCTCCCAAAGCAGCTGGGTGCTGGTGGCTCACACCTGTAATCCTAGCTGCTCAGGAGGCTAAGATGTAAGGATCCGGGTTCAAAGCCAGCCCAGGCAGGAAAGTCCACGAGACTCTTTATTTCCACTTAACCACCAGAAAACCAGATGTGGTTCTGTGGCTCAAAATGATAGAGCTCTAGCCTTGAACAAAAAAAAAAAAAAAAAGCTCAGGGACAGTGCCCAAGGCCTGAGTTCAAGCCCCATGACTAACAAAAATAAAAAGTTAAAAAAAAAAGGTTTCTCCCATGGCTTCCCTTGGCACTTAGAATAAAATCCAAACTCCTCCCATATTCTTCAAGGACACCCTTTGATTCCCCCCCCCTCCGGAACTCTCTCCGGCTCCCTAAACACCAGCCACACTGGCCCTCTGTCTGCTCCCCAAACAACAAGGTCTTGTTCTCAACTGTCTCGCACATCCTCTTCTCCCCAGCACCCAAGTGACTCTGGTTCTCAGGTGCCACCCCCTCCAAGAGGCCCTCCCTGATTACTCCGGTTCCATTAGCTCCTTCGCTAACTCTGATTTCTTCATAGACAGTATATGCCCAGCATTATTACACCCACTGTACAGATTAGGAAACTGAGGCCCAGAGAAGCCAAGGAAAATGGTCCAAAATCACTTGGCCAGGAAATGGTGATACTGGCATTCTCCATCTCCATCTCTTGTCCTCTTTGGGAGTTTCACACTTTTCCTCCCATCCTCTGCCCCCCTCTTCCCCCCCTAGCCTCCTGCTCCCTATCCCAAACTCCTTCGTGGAAAACAGATACCCAGTCCCCAGGAGGAGATCCAGAGATTGGGGGAGGAGGGGGGGGTCTAGGGAGGGGCAGCCCAAGAAGAGGACCCTCCTGCCTTTAGTGTCTGCCAGAACTTCTCTTCTCCACCCTGGGAGGCAGCCCCAGAAGATGCCTGTCTGGGGGCCACTGGGTGGGGACCGGAGAGAATGAGGAACCAGCCAGTCCTCCTACTGGGCCCTCCTACTGGCTGCAGAGCTCCCCTGGGCGTGTGTGTATAAAAGCTTCAGTATATATTCAGAGAAGCAGAGAAAGAAGCCCCGAGGAGCAAAAGAAGAGAGAGAGAGAAAGGGAAAGGAGCGGGAGGGAGAAGGAGGGGAGAGAAAGGCAAGGAGGAGGAGGCGGGGGCCAGAGGGAGGAGGAGAAAGGCGGGGCAGGAGGCCCTGGTGGAGGGAAGAGACTCCAACTCTTGACTTTTCTCCCCCTGCTGCTCTCGGTAAGTTTCCGATCCGTTATTTGGGCTGGGATTTCTTTCTTTCCTAGCACAGTCCAGCAGTAGTTAAAGGACACCCCCAGACTGGGAAAGATCCCCTCTTCTTGCCCGCTCCCCCACTCCAGCCCTGTAAAACTTCTAGAAATTGTAGTAGTGATCTCTGAACCCTGAGCGTGTGGGGATACAGGAAAGGGTGGATCCAGAGAGAAGGTGGAGGGTCCCAGCGGAGCTCCCCCACACCCACAGGCAAGCTGCCCATCCATGCCTTCCTTGGCACCCCCGAGATCGGGGAGGGAGGAGAAGGCACCTCCAGACACAGGAAGCTCCCTGCTGGGTTTCTGCTCAGGCCTCCTTTGCCCACCCAGTTTCATCCATCCATTCTCCCAACTGTCCAGAAGGCACCGGTCAGGCGGCAGGGTGGGGTGCGGCCCTCGTGGATGGAGCCTGGGGCTGGGGTTTCCCTCGTCCTCCAAGGCAGGGGGCCGGGCAGATGATTCATCCCATGACTCACCCCAGGGGGGGGGGCTGGGTGAGTCAAGGATGCCCGCAACTGCGGGCAGCTCCTAGCTCCCGATCAGCTGGCCAGGGTGACTCCAGAAAGAGGGAAATGAGGAGACCCTGGCCACTTATCCAGCACCTAAGAGCTGAGCTCATTCAACATCCCGCCCTGAGGAAAATAGACTCCGGCCTCCTCCCTCAGACACAGGGTTCCCCTACCCCAGCCCTCCTCCCTCAGACACAGAGGTCCCATTCCCCAGCCCTCCTCCTGGCCCCAGCCCTCCTTCATTATGTCCCAGTACCCAGCAGGCTAGTGTCTTGATCACCCATATCCTAAACTCCTCCCCAGGCTTCCATCGCAGCCATGTCACTGCTCCTGCTGGTGGTCTCAGCACTTCACATCCTCATCCTCATCTTGCTGTTTGTGGCCACTTTGGACAAGGTAAACCTTCTAGGGGGTTGAAGCCCCCACTCTCATTTAGATCCTCCTCACCTGTACCTGAGATCAGGAGCCTTTCCTCTGGCCCTTCCCATTCCCTACTAAGTCTTTGCCCTTCCCAGCTCCACTCCCCCCACAACTCTTCCTAAAGTCCCCCTGGACCCCCACCCCCTCTTCCTAACATTGCTTGTCTGTCTGTCCATCCAGTCCTGGTGGACACTCCCCGGGAAGGAATCCCTAAATCTTTGGTACGACTGCACTTGGAATAATGACACCAGAACCTGGGCCTGCAGTAACGTCAGTGAGAACGGTGAGGGCTCAGCGGTGGGAGGGTGGTCTGCAAAGGGTGGTCTGCAGTATAGCTGATTATGTAGGGCCTCTGCCTAATCCATTGAGTGGGTAGGGCTGATGGGAGCTGTTGAGTGTGTGATCGTGAGGGGCAATTGCCTCTGTTCTCAAGGGAACAGCTCAGACCCACCCACCCACCCCTTTCCACTAGTTATTTTATTTTTACGTTTTTGGTGCCAGACTTGGGACTTGAACCCAGGGGCTGGGTGCTGTCCCTGAGCTTTTGTGCTCCACAATAGCTATTGCTCTACCACTTGAGCTACAGCTTCACTTAGGAATTTTTTTTTTTTTTTTTTTTTCCTGGGGCTTGAACTCTGGGCCTGGGCGCTGTCCCTCAGCTCTTCAGCTCAAGGCAAGCGCTCTACCACTTGAGCTACAGCGCCACTTCCGGTTTTCTGGTGGTTTATTGGAGATAGGAGTCTCACGGTCTCTCCTGCCTGGGCTGGCTTTGAACCTCGATCCTCAGATCTCAGCCTCCTGAGTAGCTAGGATTACAGGCGTGAGCCACCAGCGCCCGGCTTTCTTAGGAATTTTTTGATGACTAAATGGAGGTGAGAGTCTCATCGACTTTTCCTGCCTGGGCTGGCTTGGAACTATGATCCTTAAATCTCAGCCTCCTGGGTGGCTAGGATTACACACCAGGAGCACCTGCACCCAATTTAAGCCATAGGTTTTAAGACTGAGGAGAAAGCCACACCCCCTCCTAAATTCAAAGATTGCGCGCTTCCAAAGTTGTGATTGGAGCTGGTGTTCCCAATGGCTGTGACTCCAATTCATTACAGTTCTAAGTGGGCGGGACCAAAACCATTATTAAGGTTCTGATTAGGTAGGGCAGACTCATCAGAGCCTGCTTCCTTCCAAAGATCTAAGTGGAAAAAAGTGGGGGGGGGGGCAAGGGAGAGGCCTCAGCCCCAATTTTTGCAAGTGGCCTGGTCCCATTTCTATTTAGCATTGAATTGGAGGTAGCCATAAGCAAGAGAATAAAATGAAAAAAATCTATTCCTAGTGGATGTGTTTCATATTTGATTATATAGAAAATCTTCAGAATCGCTGAAGCACACTGAGCATGGTGGCACATGTTTGTAACCCTAGTAATTAGGAGGCTGAGACAGGGGGATTGCAAGTTGGAGGCCAGCTGACTGAAAACAAATGAAGGGACAGTATACAAAGCACCAATCACTAGAATTGAGCTAAGTCAGGGAGGCTCAAGGTTTTGAAGTACCTGAGCTTTTGTGATGGTAAGGGGGTGGTGAGGATGGGGGTGGGAGGAGGAGGAAAAGAAAGAAGGAAAGAAGGAAGGAAGGAAGGAAGAAGGAAGGGGTTAACAAGTAGACCAGCTGGATGGGATCCACCATGAACTTCTGCTCCCATTTCCCCCTCCTCAGGCTGGCTGAAGGCTGTGCAGGTTCTCATGGTGCTTTCTCTCATCCTCTGCTGTCTGTCCTTCATCCTCTTCATGTTCCAACTCTACACCATGCGACGAGGAGGGCTCTTCTACGCCACTGGCCTCTGCCAGCTTTGTACAAGTAAGCTAGCATCCCTCCCTCCACACTGAGTGCCCAAAACACAGCACAATGCAGCATCCCCCACCCCCTTGTCCCTGGATTACCTCTCTGGCCCAGGGGACTGACGGGAGTTGTAGTTTTTGGTGACTTGGTGTCTCTGAATCATGGGAGGATTTATAGCATCTAAAAGCCAAAGCTGCAGGAACAGCAATGGGTAAATAATTTGGGTCCCAGCAATGAGGGAAACGCTAATGCATTCACCAGAAGGGAGTTCTGGACGTAATTTATATTGATAAACTGCTATTTCTTTTTTCTTTTGTGACCATACTGGGGTTTGAACTCAGGTTTGAACACTGTCCCTAAGCTTTTTCTGATCAAGGTTGGTGCTCTACCACTTGAACCACAGCTCCACTTTGAGCTTTTTGGTGGTTAATTGGAGATTAGAGTCTCATGGACTGTCTTGTCCTGGTTGGGTTCAAACCCTGATCCTCAGATCTTAGTCTTTTGAATAGGAGTTAAGTTTGTTTATTTATTTATTTTGTCCATTGTGCGGCTTAAACTCAGGGCCTGGGCACTGGCCCTGAACTTTTTTGCTCAAGGCTAGCACTCTACCACACTTTAAGCCACAGATCCACATCAGTTTTCAGGTGTTGAATTGGAGATAGATGAGCGGGGGAGGGAGAGAGAGATTTTGTTTCACGGGTGAATGGCTGTTTTGGTCTCATTTTATGGGTGAGGTCATGGGACAGCTCCACAATGATGTGAATTAGAAAACTATTTCTCCAAGTGTGCAATGTAGCTGCTTTGCAGGCATCACGTGATGCCTGGTCCCTGTTTCTCTCACAGGTGTAGCTGTGTTTTCCGGAGCCCTGATCTATGTCATTCATGCCGAGGAGATCCTGGCCAAGCACCCACGTGGAGGCAGCTTCGGGTACTGCTTCGTCCTGGCCTGGGTGGCCTTCCCCCTGGCCCTGGTCAGCGGCATAGTCTACATCCACCTGCGGAAGCGGGAATGAGTTGCCCAGTCTTGCAGTCCCACCCACCCGGACACCCCATTCCCATCACCACCACCACCCCAAGCCTCCTCCAGAAAATAAAAGTGTTTTAACCACAGGGTGCTGACAATTCTTTCTTCCTTCCTTCTTAAGATCTGGACTGTGCATGCTCCTGGATGGGGTGGGGGAAGAGAGGGAGACAGCCCCCAGCCATCCCATTTCCCAGGCCCCAGCCCTTCCTTTCTAGAACACCAGAACCTCCACTCCAGCCTCCTCTTCCTGAGCCAGCCTCCTCTTCCTGAGTCTAGAGCTTGGGACACTCTTAGGCTTAGTTCTCAAACCCACTGGACATCTGCTCAGGTCTTAAACTCTCATTCTAAGATTCTGCATGCTTTCTGTTCTTCTTTGTTTGGTCGGTCGTGGGGCTTGAACTTGGGCCTGAGCACTGTCCCTGAGCATTTTTTGCTCAAGGCTAGCATTATACCACTTTGAGCCACAGTGCCACTTCCAGTTTTTTGGTGGTTAATTGGAGATGAGTCTCACTGACTTTCCTGCCCAGGCTGGCTTGGAACCTCAATCCTCAGAACTCAGCCTCCTGACTAGCTAGGCTGACAGGCATGAGCCACCGGTGCCTGGAGCTTTCTGTTCTAAATTGTGTTTCTACCATCCTTTGAGCTCTCTTTCTGGGGGAAAAAAAAAGTTTTTCTCTTGGAAACCAGCCTCTCTCTACAACTCAACCCTTCCTCCCCACCCCCTGCCCACTTCCACTCCCAAGGCTGCTTCTAGCCCATAGGACACCTTAGCAAGAATAAGACTGAGCAATCTTAGTACTCAGTGGGGCACAGGCTGGGTTTCACAATCACCTACTGCCTGGCTGTGTACAGTTGTGCAGTGGACCATCTGTGCAACGGCACGTGGCCATCCAATCTTCCCGTTACATGAGACCCATATTCTGAGAACCAGAGCCTCGCCTCACTGAGTCAGGTCCTTCTAAGATCCCCAGCCCATGACCCATATTGTGTTTCAACAACCACAAACTCAGGCTCCTTCAGGCTACAGCAGTCCCCATCTCCCCTCGCCCCTCCCAACTCCCTCAGCCACAGCACTCAGGAAGATGTATGAAACATGATTTATTCCTTTGGAAGAGGGACACTGGGAAGAAATGGATAGACCAAGAAATATTGCACAAGAGCACTGATTGGTGGGGAGATCCAGACTGAGGTAGATTCAGTAGCAAGGATGTGATCATCCAGGCCGGGAAGGCACCTTGAGGTTTTTGGGACCCTGAGCTACCTCAGCCTCGGGGTCAGGGTGGTCTCTCTGGTTTCTCCAGGCCATAGTTCTGCCAGGCTCAGGGTTCCCAGCCCCTTCGGCAGAGACACGGTCCCCCACACCCAACAGCAGTTAACCAGCTGCCCCATCTGTCAGCCTGCAGCTGGGTAATACCAAGATCAGCTTCCTTTGGAAAGTCTGACTGGTTGCTTATCTACAGAGACAACTGGCTTGCCCAAGATTGCGGGTGCCCAGCAGCTGCTGTTGGCTGCAGGCCAGGGCCAGACGGTTTTCAATGGCTGCTGGCTAGGCCCCGCCCGGGGGCACTTGATGGACAGCTTGCCTGGAGCTTCTCATTGGCTATGGACTAAACCCCGCATTTGATGGACATCTTGCCCAGGGTCTCTCATTGGCTTCTGGCTAAGCCCCGCCCAGGGGTATTTGATGAACATCTTGCCCAGAGCCGGCTAAAATGATGGCAATTGATAGATTGATAGATGCCCTCGAGGGGGAATAGCTTTCACGGCTCAGCTCGAGTTTTGGAAAAGTCAGAGCCGAACAGCTGTGAATAGCCGACACCTCCTTTCCTCAGCCTGACCACAGTTTGGATGTTTACTGGGGGGGGGGGGGGGGGGGGGGGAGGGGGGAAGGAGAGGGGGGGGGGGGGGGGGGGAGGATGGGGGGGGGGGGGAAGGACTAAGGAATCGCACCAAAGCCGAGCTAGTTTTGATTGGCTGCTCCTAGGAGATGGGGTTGCCTAGCAACTGCCGGCTGCCTGGATTGGCTGCTTTAAGTATACAGCGTAGCAAAAGTAGTAATTGCCTGTCAGTAATAGGAGTCGGAAAGTGTCCAAGTCCGAAGTAGCTGTGATTGACAGCCTGTCGCGGTGAGGGCGGGGCTTGGTTCCCAGCCCCAGTTGGCCCCGACGGGGGCAGGTCAGGGGTCCCTACTGCTGGGGATGGCCGGGGGGGGATTCGGAAGGGGCTGCAACCAAGGGGTCTAGCTTGGGGAAATCCGAGGAAGGGTACCGCCCGATGCTGGGGGTCAGAGCTTGCAGGTGGGCCAGGGCCCGAGTTCCGTTGAAGGCCACGTCACAGCCCGTCTGAGCCAGAAGCCAGCTCTCCACCTCCGACTGCAGCCACCGGGAGGTCTCTGCGAGGGGGAGAGGCGAGGCGGGGGAGAGTATGGAGGGAGAGAGGCTGGGTGGAGGGGGAGAGGCAGGCATGGGGGGAGAGGGGAAGAGGCTGGGTGGAGGGGAAGAGGCAGGGGTGGTGGGGGAGAGGCTGGGGAGGCAGGAGTGGTGAGGGAGAGGCTGGGTGGGGGGGGAGAGGCAGGAGTGGTGAGGGAGAGCTGGATGGAGGGGGAGAGGCCCGGATGGTGAAGGAGAGGCAGGGGTGGTGGGGGAGAGGCTGGGTAGAGAGAGGCAGGGGGGGGGGGGGAGGGGCTGGGGGGGGGGGGGGGGGGCGGGGGGGGGGGGGGGGGGGGCGGGGGGGGGGGAGGGGGAGAGGCCGGGCTGGAGGGGCAGAGGCGGGAGTGGAGGGGGAGAGGTGGGGGTGGAGGGAGAGAGGCTGCGTGGAGGGGGAGAGGCAGGTGTGGTAGTCCCGGCTGGCCGGCACGGCAGAGGGGAGAAGCAAGCCGGGGAGGAGTACAAGCAAGTCCGAGGGGAGCAGAACGAGGCCGGGAGGGCTCAGTCCGGAAACCAGCCAGAAAGTGGAGATGCCGGAGCTCAGAGTCCAGGTGTCTTGGGTCGCATAGAGCAAGGAGGGCAGGCGAGGGCGTGACCCAGGCCCCTTGTCGAGAGGGACTCAAGAACGAGAGGGGGGTTCGTCACATTAAAGCCAGGATCAGAAGTTGGGTTGGGGGGCGGTCCTCCTCGCAAAGCTCTGGGCTAGCCCAGGGCGGTCACGGAAGTTGGTGGTGGCACCGGGGGGCGGCGCCCGCGTCCGGGGGCGGGGCCCGATGCCAGGGGGTCCTATTATTGGTGGGCGAGGCCACTCTAGTGGGGGGCGGGGCCTGGAAACTGGCTGCTGGGCGTGGCCTGAGAATTGGCGGGCGTGGCCTACCTTCGGGCGGGTCGTGCGCGCCCCCGGGCCGCCGCGTCAAGAAGCTGCGCGCCAGCAGCGCTTCCTTGGCGTGCTCCTCCTGTGCACGCAGCGCCAGCGCGCTGAGCAGCTCCGAGTTGTTGGACGTGCTCCGGAAGTACAGCATGTGCGCCAGCTCTAGCGCGTGCGCGCTGCGCTGCTGCCCGAACATCTGGGGGAGCGAGGGGGGAGGGCGAGGACGGCGGAGGGGGGCGCAGGGAGAGGGAGGGAGAGACAGCAAGGGGGGGGCTTAGCGAGGGCCCGCCCCCTTGGGGGTCCCCACTGTGGCTACCCTGACCTTGTCAGCTTGGGCCTCCAGGGTCTCCACACGTACCCCAGGCTGGCCTCGAACCCTTCCTGCCTCTCGAGCGTGCGGATTGCAGGTGTGAGGTGTGCACCACCGTGACACTGTGCCCAGTGCCCAGCCGCTGGTCCACGTGGAGTCTCGAACGTTTCTGCCCCTGAACCGTTATCCTCCCATCTCTGCTTTGGAAGCAGCTAGGATCACAGGCACGAGCCAACTTGCCCGCTCCAGGCTGCGTTTTTAAGCACATTTTTTGTAGTGTGATGGCATCATGGATTAATGGCTTTGCTCAAAGATTTCCAAATAATAGGGGGTTTCGCCTTGGAAGTTTGTTACAAATAACAAGTGGTTACTTTTTATGGACATACTTCAGTAGTTCCAGGTGACCTGTCTAAATAGTGGCTTGGCTTGGAGATGATTCAGTGGTGGGGGTGGGGGGGGGTAGGGAGAGGCCTTCAGATGAAATAAGATGACTGCTAACTACATGCTGAATGGGAATTCATTCTACAGTTCTGTTTCTGCAAGCCTTTGAACTGTTCCATAATGGAAGAAGATTTACAATCATTGCCAGGCCTGTCTCCTGCCTGTAATTTTAGCTACTCAGGAGGCTGAGATCTGGCAGAGTGTTCGAAAGCAGCCTGGACAGCAAATTCCAGGAGACTCCATCTCCAAAATAACCAGTACAAAGCCAGGCTGGAGGTGTAGCTCAAGTGGTAGAGCGCCAGCCATGAGCAAGCAAGCCCAAAAAGTGTGGGGCCCTTAGTTCAAACCCTGGCACCACCAAAAATAAAAATGAAGCCAGGTGCCAGTGGATCATGCCTGTAATTCTAGCTACTCAGGAGACTGAAATCTGAGGATCATAGTTCGAAGCCAGCCCACACAGGAAAGTCTGTGAGTCTATGAGGCATTTTTTTCCCAGTCAGCTGTGGGGCTTGAAGTCAGGGCTTTAGCACTGTCCCTGAGCATTTTTGCTCAAGGCTAGTGCTCTGCCACTTTGAGCCACAGTGCCACTTCCAGTTTTCTGGTCGTTTATTGAAGATAAGAGTCTCACGGACTTTCCTGTCCAGGCTGGCTTCAAACCTCAATCTTCAGATCTCAGCCTCTTGAGTAGCTAGGATGACAGGTGTGAGCCACCGGCACCCAGCACCTGGCCCCAGCACCTGGTGCTCGGCTCTGTGAGACTCTGTCTCCAATAAACTACTCAGGAAAAGCCAGAAGTAGTGCTGTGGCTCAAGTGGTAGAGTGCTAGCCTGGAGCAAAAGAAGCTCTGACAGTGCCCAGGCCCTGAGTTCAAGTACTAGGACCATCAAAACAACAACAACAACAATAATAATAATGTAAGTAAATATAAATTGAGGTGCTAGGTTCATCCACAGCACAAGGGGCAGGGGGGATGCTGGAGGAGGGGCAGTCCAGTTGTCCCCTTCCTGCCCTTTGTCCTCCTTGGTGACCCTCTCCCCTGAGCCCTTCACATCCATATTGGAAAGCAACGCCTGGAGCCTTCCACTCACCAACAAAATGAGCTCCAGGCCATTGGGTCTGGCCGCCAGAGCTGGGTATCAGACCCAAGGATGGCAGAGCCCTAGTAGCTTTAAGCCCTTGGGAGTCCCATTCCCAAGGTCAGGCTGGCTCCGGGACTCAACACAGGACAGAGCCTGGCCCAGCAGAGGTAGCTGACAGCCACTGGGGACAGCGACAGCCTGGCCTCCCCACCTACCCCACCGTGTCCACCAGTCTCAGGTGAGCCAGCTCTGATGCCAAGACAGCCAGATATCTCTGGCATGGGCCACACAGGGTTGTGTGCGGCCTTCGCTCCATTCCCCACCCTGGAACCAATCACTGTTTCCACGGCTGGGTGCCATGCGGGGACAGCAAGCTAGGGAGCGTCTGGCTGGTGTGGAAAATGCATTAGGTTTTCTGCCTGCGTCTGGCCCAGTCCCCAGGGCTGAGCTGCTGAGCCGAGTCACCGCCCACTGCCTGGATGAGCAGTCTGCCTGGGGAGCACCTGCCACCTGGACGGTCCCTTCAACACCCACCCACGACGGCCATTTCCCCAGCCAGGGAGACTCCAGCCTCATCCTGCTACCCCTGCTCTGCCCTGGCTCAGGTCCCTCCTCTCTTGCCTCAGTCTCCCCTGCTCCTACTAGCAGAAGTGATTCTGCATCTCCAAGGTTCTCCTAGGGCTCCCCCAGGCCCCCAGATGTCCCAGGTCGACCACAACAGCTGAGAGCCCAGCCCTTTCAAGACCCCAGGCCTAGGAACAAGCCAGGGTGCCAATGGCTCATGCCTGTAATCCCAGCTACTCAGGAAACTGAGATCTGAGAATCCCAGTTCCAAGCCAGCCCTGGGCAAGAAAGTCCATAAGACTTTTTTCCCCCCAGTCCTGGGGCTTGAACTCTGAGAGGCACTCTGAGCTTCTTTTGCTCAAGGCTAACACTCTACCACTTGAACCAAGGTGCCACTTCTGGCTTTTTCTGAGTAGTTTATTGGAGATAAGAGACTCAGATGGACTTTTCCTGCCAGGGTTGGCTTCTAATCATGACCCTCAGATCTCAGCCTCTTGAGTAGCTAGGATGACAGGCGTGAGCCACCAGCCCCTGGCTCCATGAGATTCTTTTTTTTGGGGGGAGGGGGTCCGGTTGTGGGGCCTGAACTCTGGGCCTGGGTGCTGTCCCTCAGCTCTTCAGCTCAAGGCTAGCGCTCTACCACTTGAGCCACAGCGCCACTTCCGGCTTTTTTCTTTTTGCTTATGTGGTGCTGAGGAATCAAACCCAGGGCCTCAGGCATGCAAGGCAAGCGCTCTACCACTGAACCCCCTTCCCAGCCCCTCCATGAGATTTTTTTTTTTTTTTTTTTTGTCGGTCGTGGGGCTTGAACTCTGGGCCTGGGCGCTGTCCCTCAGCTCTTCAGCTCAAGGCGAGAGCTCTACCACTTGAGCTACAGTGCCACTTCCGGTTTTCTGGTGGTTTATTGGAGATAGGAGTCTCACGGTCTCTCCTGCCCAGGCTGGCTTTGAACCGCGATCCTCAGATCTCAGCCTCCTGAGTAGCTAGGATTACAGGCGTGAGCCTCCAGCACCCGGCTTCCATGAGATTCTTATCACCAATTATCCACCAAAAAAACACAAATGGAGCTGTGGCTCAAGTGGTAGAGGGCTAGCCTCCAGCAAAGGGACAGCATCTAAGTTCTCAGTTCAAGCCCCAGTACCAGCATGAGAAAGAAAACTGTCCGAGGGAGACTTCATCTCCTCTGCCCCTGCTGCTCTAGGCTCCCAGGCTGCCTGGGCAGAGGGTGGCCGGGTGGGCAGGGTGGCTCAAGAGGGGGTGGAGACATTGCAATGTGAAGAAAAACCTCCTGCAGTGGCAGAGAAAGAG